TTTATTTATAATAATATCAAAAAATAATTTATACACATAATTTAATATATATTTTTTGTGTATCTAATTTAATTATTAAAATATAATATAAATATAATTTAATTCAATTAACTCTTAGATTTATAAAATTATATTTTGGGTTCCTGTTAGTCACCGTCTTAGCCTATTTGACTGACACCGACTACTGTTATGGTCAACTGGGATTGGCGGGTACTGCATGCACCGCGCTTGCAAAATTGTGCTCTTACGAATATATTAAAACCAAAGACAACTCATAGATTTTAAGTTGGTTGGGTTTTTAATACCTGGTTTCATTGCCATACTATGGATTGCGAGAGATGGTTTTGTTTTTTAAGTACCTTACGAATGTTTTTTTGGAAAGTGATTTCTCCCTTTTTGTTTTCCCTAAAACCACGACCGGACCACAAATAAACTTTTCCCAGAAATGACTTATGGATTCAGAATACAGGAAGGAAGGAAGGAAGGATACTTATGGATCATAATTGTAGTCACAAGAAAAAAAATAATATTTGTGACATAAATTCATATTTTGTAATTAATATTTTTAAGTAACTAATAGTTAATTTATTTGTGACGATTTTGATCATTACAAATTTAAGTAGTTTATTATGAAAAATTTTTAGTGAGTAAATATTATTTTTATGTCTAAATTATATATTATAATATTAAAAATTAATATTAGTGATTATTATCTTAAATTAATTACAAATATAAAAAATACTAATGACCAATTGATAATCAATCATCATTTTCAATCACAAAAAACCCATTTTCTCATAGTGACAACAGAACATAGTTTAATTTGGTGAGAACATGCTTGTAGTTTAGTTACCACATTTTTGCTGTAAATGATTTCTTATGCTTAGTTTTGATAGGTGTGAGATTCGAGTTTTATTCTTAACATAAAAAAAAAAATTTTAATTTAGTAAATTTCTATGACCTTACGAACAATAATTGACTTTCTTCAAGCATTTTAAAGGAGGTAAAACACCGGTACCAGAGGAAAAAAAATCTCAATAACCATTAGTTAGGATTCATTTGTATTATCATTGATAATGTTTAGCATTCAAAAAGGCTTCCTTTGTCATTTTTTCTCACGTATCTTTTTCATATAGTATTTTCTTTTTACAACTTAAATTTATTATTTTAATTATTTTTTTATATAATTTCCTAATTTTAGTTAATACTGTAAAGTTCTCTCTGTTTATTTTAGTAGTTTAATTTAAATTTTTTAATTTTTAAGATACAAATTTTAGATATAAATTTGAATAACAATTGCGAATTTTTTGTCCTTATCAATAGTTTTTGTTAAGTGTTTTTATTTGATAAAAAAATTAATTATTATTGATATAGATTATTTAAATTTTCATTTAAAATTCATTTTTAAAATAAAAAAGTTAAATTAAATCTATTAAAAATAAATCAAAACAGTAAATATTTGTAGACAATAAAAGACCAAAAAATATATAATTTTTGCATAATAAAATACTAACAAGTAAAATCTCTTATAATTAATTAATATTTTAAAAAAATATTGTATTTCACTATAAATGTATTAGTAAGTAGATATATAAAATGTGTATCTTTAAAATTGTCCACAATGACTCGTGAATACCCTAATCATCTAAACCAAAAATAAAATAAAAGTCAAAGCTTGGGAAATGAGACTTTTATATTAGAAGTTTGAAGCTGGAACCCACAGATGAGGAGAAATTATCTGAGAAAGGGAGGCTAAAATGCAGTCAAAGTCAGAGAACGCAGCAGCAACTATTGGGAAGAGCCAGATGTTCTGAGCTTGGTCCAGGCTTGCGGATGCGTTGCCACCCAATCAAGGAGGCCAGGCGCCCACAGCGCCTTATTCGCTTTCTTATCTCAGAATATTGCCAATTTTTTCAATCGTTTCCAATTAGCCTTACAATTCCACAAAGGATGCAACTACAGGGTTATTACCTTTCTAAATCAGCATTAGAGTACATTTTTTGTCTCCTAATCAAAACAACACAAATGTTATTCCACTTTTAGGGTCAATAAAGAGTTTAGATGGGATGACATATACTTGTTTGTTTTTTTTATACTAACCCTTTAGTATCTAGAAATCACATTAAATTCTAATTACCCTAGAATCGAGTTAAATCGGACCCTATATGAGGAAAATTTCTTCTAGCACTTATTTTTTTATTTACAAAACTTGAACTTAAAATCTTGTTTAAGAGAAATTGACCTCTTTCCACTCATTAATAGGTCGTTGGTACATATACTTGTTTGTTAAAAAAACATCCAAGCATTAATCACTTGAGTGGTATAATGATGAAGCTAGCCTTATTAAGCTGTGGTAGTTGTGACGAATTTGGATTTGAAATATTTCATCATGTTTGAAACGTATGATTGCATAGAAGAATTGGACGATCCAAAAACAATGAGATTGGATTAGATATATATGGATGGAAAAACTTACGTTGAAATCTTGTAATGTGATCGAAGTCTTTACAGATACGTAATGGCTATATTTGATTAGAGAACTGATTTTGATGGAAAAGTTTTTATTGAGAAAGATTGAAATGAAAATTTAATAAATTTTGTTAAAATTTTATTGAGTTATTATTTTGTTTATATTTAGTAAGAAAATAATATAAGAAAAGTTACTAAGAAAATTGTCAAGTAAATTTTACATAGAGAAAATTGAAAAAAAAAAATTTCTCTTCAAAAAATATAGGAAAAAGGTTTATGAATTGAAAATAAATGTTAGAAATGTTATTTTTATTGTCATTTTATTATGATATTAATATGTAAAAATATATAAATCATATTTTTTTAAAAAAAATTTAGAAAAAGTTAAGGGGTAAAAGATTCCTCCAACCAAAGAGCCCAAAATGGTATTAATATTCTTTTTTCTTTTTTCTTTTTTGTATATATCCCTAAACTTATGACTAATAACATAAATAATTTTACTGGCAAGTCACACCGTTGATGGTGTGGTATTAATATTCTTTTTTTTAAAGAATAAAATTAAAAAAGGATGATGTAAATTATAAGAGTTGGATTTATTGATAGACAAATGTCATGTTATGGTAGATCTAAATTTAAGTTTTTGCATTAGTACTTAAAAAAATTAATTTTTTTAAACATATCATGTTGATGTAAGGGTATATCTCTAAGATCACTTGAAAATGGATTAATGTTGATTTGGGGATATCTTTACCATAAATATAAAAAAAAATAGTAAAAAGTTAGGGGAAACTTTTATCTTCACAAAGTGTAAGAAAAAGGTTTATAAATTAAGAATTATATCACAAAAAATAAATATTAAAAATATCACATTTACTCTCATTATATTATAGTATTAATATGTAAGCATATGTAAATACTTTTATAAAAGAGAAAGTTTAAAAAAGCTTCCTCCAACTAAAGAGCCCAAAATGATATGAATATCCATTTTATCAAAGAATAAGATTAATAAGGATAATGAAAATTATAAAATAGATTTATTAATAAATAAATATTATTTTATAAGTCAATCCAAGCTTTAAATCTCAAAGTCAATATCTAAAAAAAATTAATTTTTTTAAAAATAATGTAAAAAATATACCTTTAAAATTATCCAAAAAAAAAAAGTCTCACATGCATAAAAACTGAATTAGAAAGCCTCTCATTGTAAATAAATTAGAAAAAAAAAAGAAAAAAAAAAAAGGTAATGTTTAGCCTTATTCACGGAGTAACATCCATTAGGAGTTGGGACATTGGATGCTCTCGTACAATTATTAAAAAGATGGTAAAGAATCAATTTTACCAAAATTGTTTTACAACCAAAAAAAAAATCACAACCAAAAGGGCTAAAACCCTGTGGACATCTCTGTACTTTGGATTTATGCTAAATTGCCATATCCTCGAATGGTGGTTGGTTATGGATCTTGTCCCCCTTACGGTCGAGGGGTTCCTCCTACTCCATTATTTATGTTTGCTGGGGTCCTTATTGGAGCCATTAGTGACGTGGGACTACACCAATACAGCATCTAATTCCACTGTCATTTTTAAACAGTGTTGAGCCCCTCCTACACACTTGGACTTTTTTATCGGAAGGATAAGGAAAAGGAAAAGGAAAAGAACAAACGTAGAAAATTAAAGGTGACGGTGACGCCTAACGCGCGAGATTTGTGGACTGGGTTCCTTAATCTTTGTCAAAATTGTTAAAAAATTCAACCCACCTAATTGATGGTGGATTTAGACGGCAAAAACTTGTTTTTAGTCCCTCATTCTATTAAATTTTAAGGTTTTAATCTCTTATTTTATATTATGATATTTTTAACTTTTTATTTTATTAGATTTATAAATTTAACTCTTCATGTTACTAGATTTATAGATTTTAACCTCTCACCTTATATTATGACACTTTTAACCCCTCACTTATTAAAATTAAAGAAAATAGTTGTTACTTTATAATATTTTATTAATTTTATTAATTTATTATTAACTCTATTAGTTGACTGTTAATTGACAAAAATTTACTTTCAGCTAACAGAATTAATTTTATAATATTTTATTAATTCTATTAATTAACAATTAATTGACTGTTAGTTGACAAAAATCTACTTTCAGCTAACAAAAATCTACTTTCAATTAACAGAATTAACAGTTAGTAAAAAGTGAGGGTTAAAATTTAATAAGTGAAGGGTTAAAATTTACAAATTTAATAAGGTGAGAAACTAAAAATATCATTTTATAAGATAAGGAGTTAAAACTTTCAAGTTTAATAAGGTGAGAGGCACAAAGTAAGTTTTTGCCAATTTGGACTCACTCTCGTTTTATTATAAAAAATGCTTCTATATGTAAAATGAAGGTTAGTGTTTGTTCACCTTACTTTCAAAAAATTAGAAGGAAAAAAAATAAAAATCACCTTAATGCATGCTTTAAAAATAAGATAGTTTAGTATTTCTTAATAAAAATTTATTAAAACGATATAGTTTTAAAATGATTTTTCTCTTAATTTTTAAGAGATAAAGGTTGACAAGCAACTTTTTCTATATAAAATAATCCTTGCATTATATTTTATAATAGAAAGTGAAATCAAGCCCGCC